TAGAATTGTACATTTTATGATTGATTGATAGAAATGAAGTGCAGGCACTTCACATTTGATAATTTTGATAATGTTTTTCTGTTATTAGTGGTGTGTTGAGAAACCAGGGGCCCTCTGGCTTGTCAACCACCCCAATAACAATCAGAAAAATTAAATATTTTAAATTGTAAGGACTCGACTGCCTCTGTGTTTAGAAGTTACACCATCGATCTGTGACTAGTCATGCAAATGTGTGTTAACGTGTTGTTCCATGAGTTTGCAGATGGTTGCAAATAGTATACATGTTGTGTGGTTGCAAAAATTTAGTTCCGGTGCTAATCCGGGAGGCCATATAGATATTTGTGTAGTAATGTTCTCCTGTGAGGTGTGACTGGCCCCTTCAAGTGTCTTCGCACCCATCACCCGCGTTTCAGGTTATGGTCTAACAATTCTGATGTCCTGGCTTGATGCAGATGGGATCAGGCGCCTTCCTGGTATCTGTCCTCCAAGGAATTGCAGTGGTCAGCCAGAGACAGAATCAAATACAGAGAGAACCACAGTTAATTTTGAACTTCTCATCAGTTTCACGTTCAGACATGTGGAATTATTTTAACTACATCATAATCATTGGTCAGATCTGAATTACTGCTACTGTTTCAGTGCAGAGTGTGTAACAAACACTGGTTGCCGTTCTTGCAGTTGAGCCTTCACAGTCTTGTCATGAGCATTAGAGACTCCAGTTCTGCTGGGGACATTTTCTAGATTAATTGGTGTTTTTATCACCCATGTCATCATGAACTCCAATGGACCAATGTCCATGGCTTTAGTTGCAGTTGCTCTCATTACAGTCAGATCTGTGGGCAGAAATGTGTTCACCTGTTTCGGTGTTGTCTGTTTGGCAAATGTTGTTTTATGGTGTTGATCACACATGCAGATCTCTGTGACACATAAAGACATCTGGTATTTTGGTCTGATGTTTAGTATTTTACACCCCCCTTTCATTATTTTTCAAGTAAATTTAAAAGATCAAATAGTGCTGTGTGGCTGCATTCGACCGTGGCTTTGTGTAAATACAGTCATGCTCCAAACAAAGGAAGGAAGTTTTACAATTGTGATGTAAATTTGGTCCTGTTGCTGTAACCGGTAACCAGTCTCAGAATGCGAGTATGAGGTGAGATCTGGATCAAAATACTTCCATTTTTTAAGGAGCAAGATTAGGTGCAAATTCAGAGCTTCTGAGTTCTGCATTGAAATTTGGATGTTTCAAATGTCCAAATAATGTTAGCCACTCTCTCTGATCAGATTACATTTTTAGTTGGTGCTCCTCAGCGAAGGATGAATTGGTTCGCTATCTCTGGTGTGACGCTATTGAAATGAAAACACACCTCCTCCCTTTTGGGCACTGGGTAGCAGACCAATGAAAATTGTAAGGGTTAGCAAATCACATTTCTCTATGTAATGCCATGCTTGGCGATTATAATATAATGTACATTATAATTTGATTTATAATATAATTATATTATATTAAAATAGTATATATTAAAATAATATTATTTCTGGTCTCTGGATTTGAATATGAAAAGGTGTTGAGGAGCTGGGCAAGCTCAGGGCTGATGCAAAGCACAATCACTGTTTTTAGGTCTCAAAGGTTTGTGAAGGCCCAGTAGCCATTTGATTGATATAAGGTGTGATATGTTTAATTGTGTGTTATTATTTGGCCATAAACACCTCCCATGCAACAGGGAGAAAAACATGAGTATTCTGAGTGGGTGTACCCTCGGACTCAGCTTTGAGCCACTCTCAGAAACAAAGTCATTTGTTTTATAAAATCATCACTTTCAATCTGTGTATCAGTTTCAGATTTTTTAAGCTTATCATCTATTGTTTTATTGCAGTCAAAAGGAGTTCTGCTTTGTAGTAGCCTAGTTAGTCCTCAAGAGCTGAGGTATAATTTTGGTCTCAATTAAGCTTTCTTTGAAGCTCTTTTATCTGTGTTGTGATTTTATCACTCTGTTTTGCCCAACTTACTTTTCACATATAAATGTATCAACTTAAATTGCCTTCCTTTCATTCAATCACAAGTTTTCCAGTTTTTTTTATTAATTTGGAATTTGTCTACTGTTTGTTCATTCTCATTTGTTGCAATGAACCAAATAAAACAACAGAGAAGGCAGTTTGCAGATTAAAACTTTAGGTTCTAGTTTATGACTCTCTGTTGAGTACCGGAATATAATTTGGATGATGGTATTCCATTTTTTAAGTTTCATCTCTTGTTGCTTAGGCAAACAAAGAGATATTTCCATTTCAGAACAAGGGATGTCATTCCTCGTCTACGCTGCCGCTATCATGTCCCTGACAAGTACGTGGTTTCGTCTAATTCTCAAACCCACCGGATCCGGTCTCCGGTCTAACAATACGAGTATTCCGACTCATTCTACAAATGTGTATATATGGGATGCGTCTGTCTTTCCCTCAATATTTCTAAAAGGCAAATAAGTATTGACTTACCACAGCAGCTGGAGAAAGAGAAGGAGATGATCAAACCCTTTGTTCGGTGCAAATCCATATTGCGCTGAAAAAACGTCATTCGCCTGTTTGGGAGATTGTGTCGCCGATCACCAATTTGTAGGGAGATCACGTCGGGGTCACCACTTTGTAAGGTCCACACACTTGGCCCAATGAAGG